CGCGTAGTTCGTGCCATTGAATTTTTCGATCTTAACTTTGTCTTCTGTCATTGTGTAAACTCTTGATCTCTTAACCTAGAGCTCTGATACCAGTTGTTGGGATTTAACAACAATTTAAATCCACTAATAAACACACACAATCGAAGAACAAATCAAGAATATAAAGTAATAAGAAACAAGAAAGAACAAGACACAGATTTTACGTAGTTTGACAATTTACCTACGTCCACGAAACTGTAGAGATTTCACTATTGAGAGAGTTGGATACAGAGAGTGGCTGTACAATCCACCATATTAACCCTAATCACCAAAATAACGAGTTTTATATGTCCTACGCACTGGGCTATATAACGAGCCAAAAAATTTTGGCTCAAGCCTTCGCTACATGGACTAAGTCTCAGAAAATTTTTCATTAAAAAATCACACAACATTACTTCGGATCGGGTCATCATCCGGATCACATATACAAACTAGACTCCACAAAAAACCAACACTAAAGCAGCACCTCCTCAATGGAAGGGGTGAACCTGACTCGAATCGAAATTGTTTGAAAATACAAGTAATCCAAAATATACATAAGAACATACATAATTAAAGGGAAAAAAAAAGGCTCTTGCACTAAGTGGAATAGATATGGAGGTTTGAGATAAAATCTGATTTCTCCAACTTAGACCTCTTCCATAAACTTGTTTATATAGAGATCATTTGATGACCCATCTTAAATGCTTTAGTGTAACGGCTAGGCCCTTAACAAACCATTAAGGTAATAACATATGGGAATTAAAAAATAGGTCATTATATGTTTGTACCCAAAATTTGAAAAATTAAATCAAAGGAATAAACTCATAAAATTTGATTTCTCCAACTTAGACCTCTTCCATGAGCTTGTTTATACAAAGATCATTTGATGACCCATCTTAAATGTTTTAGTGTAACGACTAGGCCCTTCCTTAACAATCCATTAAGGTAATAACGGCTGGGAATTAAAAAATAGGTCATTATATGTTTGTGCCCAAAATTTGAAATATTAAAACAAAGGAATAAACTTATAAAACTGAAAATGTTAATTTAAAAATTAATGGGAAGTTTTGGAAACATACTATTATTCTAACATAAACTAGTTCCTCAACGACCATGGTGGTATATTAGTTAGCTTTTAATGAAGGGTGAAAGTCTCACTCGCCTCCAGTAGTCACGGGTTCGAACCTATTTGTGATAGTAGTTTTTTTTGAACTAGATACTGTTGGAGGGGTTGAATGTCCAACTTGTTCTTAGTGGTGCTGTGGTGATGAACTTGATTATCTCAAGTCAATAATTATGACTCAAATCAAAATTTTTACGGCGGATAAAAACCTCACGGTAACATTCTAAGAGAATTGCTAGGTCTAGTTGCCACTGATATCCCTTTAATTTAGCCCAAAAAAAACTAGTTCCTCAAACTTTTGTAAGGCAGATAATATTGGTTAACATTTTCCAAAAAGAGAAATATGGAATTAGTTTTGATATTAATGCTTCATGGTGCAATAGAGAAATATCAATTGACAACACTCCAAAGGATTCGGTATAAGGATCAAAATTTTGTTTCGATACTTTTAATATATATATATATTTGTTCAACATCAATTAAACTAGAAATCTCACCACTCTCTTGTACTATAAATAAATATCATCATATATAGAATAAATTACATCAAAATAATATACAATTAATATTCGATTTCTATTCTCTTCTTTCATAGATATATTGTTTCGATCACCTAAGAAACAAAAACGTTTCTGAAATATTTCAAAAAAATAATGAAAAATGGATAAAAAAATTGAAAATTTATTTTTAAAATATTTCAAAATATTAGTCAAAATATATTCAAATAGCTCGAAACATTCTAAAATATTTTAAAATATCAAAATTTCGATTTAATCACCGATTTGTTTTGATCTCCTTAAAAATTAAAATATTTTAACCATTCCAAAATAACATTTTAATCTTTGATTCAGTATTAGAATCAATGACGATACACGTTTACATCGAAAAGCTTATGCTTAGACTAATATTTTCTTCCAAATTTGATGTTGATTAGAACTTAGAAGTGTTTGATACCCCCAGTAACATGACCATGCCTCATTGGAAATAAGACTTATAAATTAATTACACGATATAATTGAATAATTCAAATTACAATTGTTTTAGACATCAAAAATCTAAGTCGTCCATAGTTAAATTACATAATTAAAAAGATATTATTTAAAATATAAATATTACACAATTAATATTCATTTTTTAATATCGAGGTATGTTATCATCCACTGTCATCCAACTGCGTGAAACAAACCAGTTTCGTGTATCGCTGTATAACTGACCTCAGCTCTGTTTTAGAAAGAAAACTTTTTTTTTTTTAACCCAATAATACGAAATAAAAAGAAAGACAGTCAAATGGTGCCTTTGTTCTTCTCATGTTACAAACATGAGAAGAGAGGGAGAGAGTATGTGTTGGTATGTTGTGAGCTTTTGATTTTATTACAACCTATTATTTTCATGCAACTCTATATGTGTGTGCGTCTGTGTATTGATTTGATTTTCCCATCTGGGTTCTTATTTTTAGGCTTGATTTTTCTGTTTTTTTATAGTGGATTATTAATATGGATTCACTGATAAGTTTGTTTATAGAATCAGTTGCCATGGTTTGAATATGTAGAGAAGGGTTTTTTTTATTCCATTATTGTTTTTTTGCTATGCAAATTATCCGAGATTTTAGCATCAGCTTAACCAATGTTGTGTCGTTTTCCTGAAAAATCTACTTATGGAATGGTCTTTTCAATTTTGTTTCCCCTTATCAGATTCCTGATGTGACATTCTTGGCTATTCTTTTTGCTCATTTGGTTTTTCACGCCCCTCTCTCTCTCTCTCTCTCTCGTGTGTGTGGATTTATGGTTTATGTAAGCATATACATAATGTGATGCATATAATATTAGTTTGTTTATGCTAAAATTGGCTTATTGTGTCACATTCCAGTACTTTAGGCTAGTTGGTTACGGAGACTTTGAGCTGTTCATAGTCGGTATTAGTTTAATAGGATGAGACTAAGTTTATGGTCATAGTTGTTTAACAAATAGCATTATTCAGAGTACATATCACGGAATTCAGCTCAAGAAGGAATTGATTCATAATTTTGAACACTAGGTGACTCAATTGTGAAGGACACTTCTATAAATTTAGTAGGAATCGTTTTCCATTAGAACTCATGATATCGATTTGCAATGGGATCCTTAAATACAGAGAAGAAATGGGCATTTCCTATAGTGATAACTTCACTTGTATGTATCCTTCTTCTTGCAACCACTTTCAGTATGGAGCTTGTCTATTCCCTACACACAATCACTTCAATCATCACAATTCTTCCTTCTGCTGTTGTGCCAAATCAAACAATCCCTGATATTGTTGAGGCCAAGATTGATCAAGCTCCACTCCCTTCTCCCGAGCCTTCTGTTCCTCGTTTCGCTTATCTTATTTCGGGTTCAAAAGGTGATTTAGAAAAGCTTTGGCGAACTCTGCAAGCGCTGTATCATCCTTGGAATTATTATGTTGTTCATTTGGATCTAGAATCGCCAGCAGAGGAGAGATTGGAGCTGTCTTGCAGGGTGGAGAAGAATCCCATTTTTGCAAAGGTTGGGAATGTGTACATGATTACAAAGGCTAATATCGTTACTTATAGAGGACCTACCATGGTTTCTAATACTCTTCATGCTTGTGCTATTCTTCTCAAGAAAACTAAGGAGTGGGATTGGTTTATTAACCTCAGTGCTTCAGATTATCCTCTGGTGACTCAAGATGGTTAGTCTCTCTGTCTAACTTTTGTATATATAAATGTTTTGGTTGCAAATATTTGGTTGAGAGACCATATTACCTTTGTTCAATGTATTTTTTGAATTGGTTAGCTTCTTGTATATGCAGATCTTCTTTCCACGTTTCGTGATTTAAACCGAGAGATAAATTTTATTGGGCACACAAGCCGTTTAGCTTGGAAAGAGTAAGCTCTCTTCTGTGTGTGTGTGTGTATTTTTTGGGGGTGGGGTGGGGTGGTATTTGTAGCCCCATGTAAAGAAAACAGTGAAAAGTATAAGATTTGGTTCTCTTTGCAGGAATAAAAGGGCAATGCCGTTGATGATAGATCCTGGGCTTTTCCAAACAACAAAATCAGATTTATTTTGGGTTACACCACAGAGAACTCTACCTACAGCCTTTAAATTGTTTTCTGGTTAGTTTTCCTTCATTTGACCATTGCAAAGGAAAAAATACATATGAATGCGAGAATCACATTAATCTTGTTTCTGTTAGTGACATTTCATTGTCTTACATTTTCCAATTTAGTTTCCTATTCATAGTAGATCTAACCAGTATTTTGTGATTACTACTGAGGAGAACTGATTCAATGAATCCTTTCGGGTTGCATACCACTACATTTTTGCACCCCTTTTTCAAGTCCAAATTTATTCTGAAAATTGTTGCACACCATTACATCTATCCAATTTTTGTTGCAGGTTCAGCATGGATGGTTATCTCGCGTTCCTTTGCAGAATACACCATATGGGGATGGGATAATCTTCCTAGAACCCTGCTCATGTACTATACGAATTTTGTCTCCTCTCCTGAAGGCTACTTTCAGACTGTCATATGCAATGCTCCAGAATTTGTTCACACTGTTGTCAACCATGACATGCACTACATTGCTTGGGACGTCCCTCCTAAACAGCATCCTCGGACACTCTCTGTCAATGACACGAGCAGAATGATCAGAAGTGGTGCTCCCTTTGCGCGTAAATTCAAGCAAAATGATCCTGCCCTGGGAAAAATAGACAAGATATTACTTGGGCGAAAAAAGGGGAATTTCACACCTGGTGGTTGGTGCTCTGGAGAGCCTCATTGTTCCAAGGTTGGTGATCCCACCAAACTTGAACCGGGTCCAGGAGCTGAAAGGCTTCGCCTCCTTATTGATAGAATACTTTCACCAGCTAACCTTCGTAAACGCCAATGTAAATAGGCTTTTCATTGCTGCATTCTTGCTTGCTGGTGGAAAAAGGCAAATGTAATTAGTGGTTAGTTCATTCCACAAGCCCAACTATAATTGTTGGCATATTGTATCAAAGATAGCTTGTTAACCTTCATGAGGACTGTTTACAAAAACATATTTCAACAAGTCTTCTTTTGCCAAAGTTTTGTAGATATCAATAAGCTTATTCGCATCATCTTCATTTATTGGCAAAAGGAAGCGTCATGTGGCATGTCAAATTGAAGGTTATCATATTTTAGATCAGAAAAAGGGTTCAATTTGTGTAGATATTATTTGTTTTGTCTGTAATCTCTCGATTTTATAACACGTCTTGATGTGTTGAGACTCATGTGTCAAACATATATCACAACTATGCCTTCACCTCTACTCATCTCATTCATCTTGGTCCAAGTCCAATAGTACTAGTCTATTGAATCTGAATCACCACATACAAATTCCACCATTGTTGAAGTTGTTAATTGCTATGAGATGATCCAATCACATGACAAAGTGAGACATACCCACTAAATTTCAAACTTTGCATCTGCAAACAACCACTGTCATCCACGCAATTAAGTCATTTTATACTTTAGAAAAGCATAAATTCGAGACCAGGCTCCATCATGGAATGCTTAACCGATTCATTTCGTGAAAAAAATAATGATAATTTCGTAGAAAAATATCTTGGAAGAACTGATTTTGGACTGTAATTGTAGCAGAATATACAAGAATATCAATCTTCACCCTTTTTCTCTTCTGAATCATATGTACACAATACATTGATAAAAAGATCATTCTCGCTCACTCTTCATTTTAACTGCATCCGCTATATGATCTAATGGCAAAAATTGTTTTGCTGATTTTCGTTTTCCTTTTGTTATAATCCTATGAGGTAGATCTCATCTACCCAAATTCCCCTGGTGTAAACCTCTCTCTTTTGCTTATGTTGATATCTTTTTCATCAACACTTGATGCTGTTTCTCCTTTCTAATGGGAGCATGAATGCTTCTCCAGGGTATTGAACAAGTTAAACCATCTCCAAAATCTTGATATTTCCCAACGAATTCGCAGCAACTAAGGTAGATGATTGACCGCGCCAACACACAGATGAGATGAATTGTGCAGAGTCATCCACTTCATCACCTGACAGCGGGTCTGTGCTATTGAATTTAAATGCCAGTGCAGGCATTGGGAAAGCTTTGTGGTAGATAAAAACCTGCAACACAGAAAAACATCAGCCCCTTGGTGAATGGAAGAACAATGACAACAATTACTAACTGGATGACAAAAAGAGAATGGAGGAGGAGGTACTACATAAAAGCTAATTCGTAACTATTTTGGAACACATCTATGATCGTTACCCAAATTACCACCAGCACCTCAAGATTTAGATAATAGAAAAATCCACTCAACAAAAATGAAAAAAAAAAAAAACTTCATAGGATTTGCAGGGCATTTAAAACAAATTTCTGGTATCCATGACATATAATGGTCGATATTTGACCAAAGCTGCATGAGTGATAACAGCCACAATGGCTAGTTTCCTTATAGGAGAACAAAAGGATATAAGAGACACGGACACGAATTCCAGGAAAAAGATCAGAGGATGGATTGTTCAAACAAAGCCAAAGCCAAAGCCAAAGCCACAATTATGAGGTATAAATCAATAAATATAAAAACTTGCTGCTTGTTTTGACAACTTAAGTGCATAGAATCCAACTTAATAGAGAATGAAAATGTTAAAATACAGCTGGTTGACATAAAACTTCTACGACTTTTTTTTTTAATTTTTGGGCAAAAATCAAGCAGACCCCGAATGGTCCCTTGAACTTAGATCAAGGGAGACCCCCTTACATTTCAAAAATGACATGGCAACCCCAATTAGCGTCATTTTTCATTGGCATTAACAGTTTCAATAAAAAGACAATTTTACCCCATGTTTGACTGGTCAGAAGACTCGATACTTGATAAATAAGGATAAATTTAGACCTAGACCCAGAATCACACCCAAACGTGTATCCTTGACCCGACCCTACCCCAAACCCGTAACTCTGTCCAACACCCCCTCTTCTCTCTCTCTCTCTCTCTCTCTTAGATCATCTCTTATCTCCTCCACTCCACCCCCTGTACCCTACCCCTACCCCTACCCCCTTAACCACCTAAGAACACCCACCCCAAAGCACCAACCATCCCTGCACAGCATCCATCTCCCACCGTCAGCCTCAGACCCCATGGTGTCCCTCCCCTCCAATGGTATACACATGCACACACCACCACCCGCCAATCAACCATTACCAACACCCATGGATGCAAAATCACATAACATTCAAAATCGAGAAATGCTGTGAGAAAGTCAGAGGTCTAAGAGGAGGGATTTTGCACATTTTTCTCTTGATACAAATTGTTGTGAGATTTGAGGAGGTCTCACAGGATTTTGCACATCTTCCTCTTCAAACAAATTGCTGTGAGATTTGAGGGAATTCACACAAATTTGAGGGAGCACATCTCCTTTGCTCAAGATTGAGGGATTTTGCCATGAGGTGTTGCAAATTTGAGGAATTTTCTTGCAATTGCTATGTATGTGTGTCACAAGACGGAGAGAGAAGAGAAGCTAGGTGGTGGGCTGTAAGTGCTTATTGTTGTAGGTGCCTAGGTGGTAGTTGTGTTGTGTTGTGTGTGTGTGTGTGAAGAGAGCTAGAGAGATGAGAAGTGTAGAGGTAGCGTAAATGAGGTGTGGGTGATGTCGATTGAATCAAATGGCCTCCTGGCCCAGAATGTCGAATGAAATAGGTGGTCGGGTTCTCTTCCTACGACCTTTTTGATAGGCCTACCCCCATCCCCCTATCCCTTGTGTTTAGGAGGAAGATCAGCCCAAGAAAGATCATTCTTGTGGTGGTACGAAAAGCACAGACAACGTATCATGCCCTTTTTACTATTAAGGAAAAGAAAGAATCAACCAAAACAACGTTCCTTTTGCGTATGGATTTAGTCAAGTGTTTGACTCTATTGGTTATAGTTTCTTCTTGTTACGAATGGTGCTCATTTGCGCATGCATGAACCAACCCAACAAACAGGGAAAGAATGCCTCTCAAGACATCTAAGAATGGTTTGAGTTGTATGATTGGAAACTCACTCAGTTTTTTATTTTTTTTGGAGAGGTAGGGGAGCCCAACAAGTCCCCCCAACTGCCTTGGTGTGGGCCTAAGTAAAAGTGAAATGATGAGCCTACTCATTCCAATCAGGAGAATGATGGGATTCGCGAAGAAGAACATCTTACAATGTCCATGACTAATTGGATCCCAATGTACCAATAGGTATCAGAGGGCATCACTATAATCATTATTGTATTCATATCGAAGAGATGCAACAAAGTATTCAAATCATTTGTAATGTCCTAATTAAATGCCTAGTGGCATGATTAAAGCCAATGATCGTAAGCTATGTCCTCCATCACAATGTCAAATGAAACTATTCATGGAATTGTGTATCGTGTGAAACGTAGATCATCATCGTTCTTAACCGAGACTCGGGTTAAGCTCCATATCAGAACCTTGTAGTTAGGAGTAAAACATCCCAAGGTTGGCGCATCTCGTTGAACGTGGAGAACCATTGGGAACCTCAATTTCTTTCTTTGGCGCCGTTTCTTTTCCTATCCCCCCCCACCCCAGCATAACGCTTTGCCTCTGATTCTTTGGAAGAATTAACTGACTTCTCCCTTCTTCATTGATCTAAGGACAAAAGAATCATCTCCTAGTTGGGAAGCCAAACATTCAGTAAGTGGTTTGATGAGGATAACTAGGCTGCCATTGGGGTTGGTTGTCAGCACAATAGGGTGGTGCCTTACCATAGGTGGATGCACACTACCGTCGCGGTGGTGCTCTTGTTGGTAGACCACTGTTGTCTCATTCTTGAGTGAGTTAGAGCGCAACCATCTTATCCACTTGATTAGCAAGAATATATCGTTTCAGGTCGAAGCACTAAAAGAAAAGAACTGGGGAACGGGACCACATAGAAACCACGAGACCCTCTACTAGTAAAAGGAAAAGGAAAATACGATCATGTATACTAGCTAAAAAGCCTTTTCCCTTTTTAATAATAAAACGGTAAGCTTCATATCTCCCCTATATAAAGGATGTTGATGCCCATTGTATTGGCAGTTGGGTTGTTGGATACGAGATCCTCATAATAGGCTGGACCAACATCCAATTGAGAAAAGGCAATCTTTAGAAGCAACAGGTGAGGAACCAACCCAATGTTAATTTAGATCAAAGGAAGGGAGAAAAGAAAAAAAGAAAATATTATTAGAAGAACGACTAATCTATATTACATCTTAATAGAAAAATACATACTAAAGACTCTTATATAGTAGGGCAACATAAAAGAAAGCAAATAACTAAATTACCTTTAAGACTAAATATGCTAAGTACTCTAACACTTCTTAAACTCATGACGTAGTAGTAGAAAACATCAAGAGTTTGCTAAGAAGAAAATAAAAACTAATAATAGTATGAGACTTTGCGAAGAAATCTGCTAACTGCATAGTAAAAGGAAGATAACAGAGGAAAATAGTGTCCTAAAAATGTTGACGCACAATGTGGCAATCAATCTATATATGCTTTGTACGCTCATGGAACACCGAGTTGTGAACAATCTAAATGGCACTGGTGTTATCACAATATATAAAGGTAGGAGCAGATAACATAGTTTAAAGTATCAAGCGATACCGATATAAATCGATCGAGTCGTATCCGACTTGGCACATTCCGAGACGATATCGTTACACGATACCTATAAATCCCGAATCTCGCACAATTCAATCGAGTTATCTGAGTTAATCCCAAGTCGCCAAAATATTATCAGTGAATAAATCGATATTATCATTGTTGCTACTCCTACTACTTCTCCTCCTTGGCAGAGTGATATAGAGGCTATCACTTCTCGATTAGATATATTTATGTCTACCTTGACTTCTCAGGGTTTGACTACTACTGCTACAACTAGTACAACTATACCTTGTGTCTTCCATGCTTGAACTAGTCTGTTTCCCTTTTGGATGCTGGACTCGGGTGTGAATGATCACATGACAGGTAAGGTTCATCACTTCACCACTTTTGATGAACAGTTACATATGCAAATTCAGTTAACAGATAGGACACATGCCCCTATTGTTAATAAGGGTACAGTCTGTCTTCTAGATGGCTTTACGTTACGTTTGATATTTTATGCGTCAAAGCTAGCCATGAATCTATTATCTATACATCAGTTAACCAGAGATTTTCACTGTGCGGTTGTATTCTTATTTAATTCGTGTTATTTGCAGGACCTAAGTACTAGAAGGATTATTATCAAAGGACATGAGAGAGATGAACTGTATTATCTAGACGATCCACCTCCAATTTTACCAGTTCCTACACCTACATCACCTGCACTTTATCTTTATTTGTGTCTAGCTTGCATGTTAGTATTTTTATCTAGTACTTGTTATGATTTTTCCTCACAAAATGTTCAGTTGTGGCATAACTGTTTTAGGCATACAAATTTTAAATATTTATATATGTTATTTCCTATCTTGAGTAATGCTTGTATTGGTGAAAAACTTGACTGTGTTATATGTTCCTTATGTAAATATGTTAAAAACAGTTATATTCCTCGCATGCACCAATCACCCAGGCTATTTGATCTAATACACTCTTATATTTGAGGACCCCCATTTTTTACTGCTCTGTCAGGTACCCAATACTATATGACATTTATACATGACCATACCCATTATACTTAAGTTTACCTTTTGCATAGAAAGTTTAATGTACTCCATGTCATCACTCAATTTCTACAGATGTTTAAGACACAATTTGATGTCATTGTTCATGCACTTCATTTGGATAATGCCAAAGAATATGTCTGATGTTTTAGTGTCTCACCTTTTTTCTCAATGTATCCTTCAGCAACTCACTTGTCCATATACTCTTGAGCACAATGAAATTACTGAAAGAAAAAATAAGTCTTATAGGGATGGTACGTTGTATACTTAGAGGTATGAGAATGCCAAAATTCTATTGACATTTTGCTGTTTTGACTTCTACATTTTTGTGCAATCGTACACCAAGTCGAATTCTTCAACATAGGACTCTCTTACAAGTCTTATTCCCTGAGCGGACACTTTTCGATCCCCTTGTGTTTTTGATTGTATATGTTTTGTTCAAGATCGTTCTACTACTCGCCATAAACTTGATGAAAAACAATGTGTCTTTGTGAGCTATTGTCATCAGTCTAAAGGGTATTGGTGTTATGATCCTATTAGGCATCGTATGTATCATAGTTTAGATGTTAACTTTCTTGAGCATTTTCTTTAATTTTCTCTACTCCTTCAATTAATGATACTCCCTTTGACTTTTCCTTACCATAAGAGCCAGAACCACTAGTCACTATCCTCCAGAGTCGCTCGTCACTACAGAGTCACCAATCTCTCCTCCTTTGCAGGTTTATTTTCATCGTCCTCGCTCTCATTCCCCTGATGATGGCCCCTCTATCTCAAGCGATGTACATAATATTTATAAGTTCGTTAAACATATTGATGCGTTTGTTGTTAATATTTATGAGATTGCATGTGGTGAGTCGGTTCCTTTATCTAATGAGACTTTTTTAGTAGAATATAATGATTTAGGGTGTCGTTATCCGCAGCGTGATCGCCGTCCAATTGCTTGTTATGTTTGGGCTGCTAAAACTTTATTTCTAATCTCTAGTTATGTTTCTTATTGTAATCTGTCTCTTACATTTTGAATTTATAGTATGACCTTATCAGATACACCAACTCTTCACTCAATTTTGGATACTATGCGGGAGCCCATCTTGACATGCAGACAGAGATGGACGCTTTTCAACGTAATTATACATTGAATCTTATTTCTTTACTTTCAAAGGTGAAGCCTGTTGGCTGTTGCTGAATTTACACCTTGAAGTTTCTTATGATTGGTAGTATTGATCGTCACAAGACTAGACTTGTGGCAAAAGGCTTTACTCAAGTACCAAGTTGTGATTTTAGTGCTACCTTTGCCCCCGTGACAAAATTGACTATTGTTCGGCTGATTATTTTTCTGGCTAACTCATACTCTTGGCCCCTTCATTAGTTGGATGTAAAATATATGTTTCTTCACGGTGATCTGGACAAGACTATTTATATAGATGCACCATCTAGCTATCATGGTGAGGGGGAGTATGTTGGGAAGGTGTGTCGACTACGTACGTCTCTTTATGGGCTGAAATAGTCACGAGGCCGTTTCTCTCAGTTTAGTGTAGTTCTACGTTTAGGGTTCACCACATATCATTCTGATCATATATGCTTCATTCGATAGAATACTTCAGGACAGTGTGTCATCCTTTTAGTATATGTGGATGATATTATTATTACTAGGAATGACATTTCTGGGACTGCCAAGGTCAAGGTTGACCTTGGAA